ACAGCTATATTCACATAGTAAATACTAATGCTGAGAGGAAAATATAATACATCAGTGTACATAGTATATACATGATACTTTGATATGTAATAATTCACAATTCTTTTAACAACTAATTAAGGTCATGGACAGAATTCTGGGACGTCATGATTCTCAAAACTATTGAGAAATAATCTTCAACCATTTAAGTCATACACACTCTTGTGATATAGCAAAATATTCAATAAATGAGGATACAACAGGAAAACAAACATTTCCAACAAACAACCTAGGAAACGGAATGCATTATTCATACATTGTTTTGGCAGAAAATTTAACAAAAAATTCTAAATGAACTCGCACAAAATGTTCAAATGGTACTGGACAGGTGTGTTATTATACAAAACTGTAAATCATTCATTCACATTTGGAATTTATCTCTATTATTCAGATTTGATATTCATGACTTAAAAAGAAAAGCTCAAGATTATATCTATATATATTTAATTGTATATTTGTTAATCTGAAATTGGAATTTCACTTTCATTGTATCTATTATCTATTATTTGTTTTTTTAAGGTCAATGTTAAAAAAGTGAAATACACAACTCCTCAAAAAAAAACTTTCACATTTCACATTACAGTAATCAGAATTCCATGCATTCATTGAAAAAAATATATCTCTTTCTTAATGTGACAAAAAGCTTTTAAAATATTTTAAGCCTCTAATAAGGTTAAATTTCAGAATAAACATATCCATATATACGAGATCAAGGTTTGAAGATGAATAAGTTTAGAAATTGAGGTTTGAAGATGCAAAATTTGAGAAATTGAGGTTAAATGATGTGAAATTTTAGAAACTGAGGTTTGAATTTATGGTAATCTAACCATAAATGGTGATTATCTCAATACTCCATTACTCACAAGTCAACAAAACAAAATTATTATCATTATTATTATATGGTTAGGAATTCATATGAAAACCAATCAGCATCGACTTCTTAAAAATACTCAACAAAACATTTCCTCTCCTGCTTCCAAATCCCATATCTCCAGACCTCGTTTCATCCTTGCCTTGTTGACTCAATATGAGTAGATAACCTTTTCAAATGTTCCAATATCACAGGAATTAAAATCAAGACCTAAGAATTAAAAGTTTCCTGTATCATCAAATATAACATTCTGTATTGTACTAAAATATCTATATTTAGATAACAACTAATGCTATATTTGCATGAAATACCAGGTATTTCAAAAATGTATATAGATATAGATATTTAAACAAAATAGCAACAATGCCAAATACAATTTTTTTAAAAATCAAAACATTTTTTAAAAAAAGTTTCATAATGTATACTGTTGATAGTTGAGAAGAATATGGTAGAAACAGTGGTATTTGGGTTTTTATACAAGGTTTGGCAATACACTTGGGAGAACACAAGGGATTTTAAACAAGGTTCCATTTCAAATTGTGAAAGACATGCTACAGTGACACTGTAAGATGTTCAATAAACTATGTAACAGAAAAACAAATCCTGATCCTCTTTATCTTATAACAAAAATGTATACAAATACTTTGGAAGTTTTTAGGTAATTTGTTTTTTGGCTCTCAGTCAATTGTCTCCATAGTGACATTATGATAATGATATCTGAAAGCGTGTAACACTATTTCATTGTAGTCATATAATGTCACAATTTATTCACATCACAAAATGTAAAAAGTGCTTTCATTAAATAAATATGTCATTTGTGTGAAAAAACGGGGGGAAATAGAAAAGAAGAAAAAATTAAATATCTACAATGTACACAAGGTAAGTTAAAAAAGCAAGTTGTTTTATACTTGGTACTGTCAGATATATTGGTAAAACCAGATAAATCATTATATATATTAGTACTACCATATATAGCATTACAGGATATATCCTACCAGATATTACTGTTCTTTATAATCAAGCTCCATCACAACAATTCTCCTGAAAATTCCAGCAATAAATAGAGTTATGTGTTGAGAGGCTTGTAGTGTTACAACAGAAAGAAAATCAGATGATACTTTGAGTAGATTACAATGCTCATTTCTTTCTAAATATCCTCAAGTTTATGAATGGATGGAGTCAGTAGCTGGGTTTCAACACAACACAATTTAAGTTTGTGGACATATGAATTTGTGGATTAACAGTGCCCTTGTAACTAACAAAAATAAAACCCCAATGAAAATGACTGATTTTACTATTGATCAGACACCAAGATAAATTACAACAAACCATAGAATTCATGTTGTGGTACTTAGGGATACTTTGACATTTTTCTAGGTTTCAATCGTACAAAACTCTGTTGTTTGGGTAGGGTTCATAGTATGGGTAAGTAAATCAGCATGATGTCTGCATGGAATTATAATGTATAGACAACAATGACAACTAGATGAAAATCTCAGATTGGTTTGTGTACTGACAGTACATGTTTATAAGGCAACATGATAATGAGATGTGTGTAAGATGGTAGGATATCATATTCACTATCACATTCATTCACTACTTGTACAAGCATTTTTTTTAAAATTATCCTCAAATTCCAAATAAGTGGCTACTAAGCTGATGGCTGAGGTTGACTGAGCAAACACGTCCACTAGTTTTCCTTACTTCTGATGATGATGATATAGGTTGGTACTTCTAACAGTACCATGGTTAACTTAAACAAGTCAACCAGTTCTTCTCAGGACTTCATTTACTCTTACTGAAGTATGAACCTTGACCTCTATCATTTCAGTTAAGATTCCTTGGTTTCAGAAATATGGATTTAGTTGTCTGTCTACCAAGCCCAAGATAGAATGGTTTGGTTTGTCAGGACTTGGTAAATGGTTTGGTGTAAAAAGCCTGAGTAAAGAGGTTTGTTGGGTCAGATGTGACCAAAGAGGTTTGGGTGTGTCAGAGGCCTGGCTGAAGACGTTTGGTGTGTTAGGCTTGGGAAAAGAGGTTTATCACGTCCGAATAAAGAGGTTTAGTGGGTCAGGTCTGGGTAAAGAGTTTTGGTCTGACAGGCCTAGGAAAAGAGGTTTCATCTGTCAGGTTTGGGTAAAGAGGTTTGCTCTGACAGGCCTGGGTAAGGAGGTTTCATCTGTCAGGTCTGGGTAAAGAGGTTTGGTCTGACAGGCCTGGGAAAAGAGGTTTGGTCTGACAGGCCTGGGAAAAGAGGTTTCATCTGTCAGGTTTGGGTAAAGAGGTTTGGTCTGACAGGCCTGGGTAAGGAGGTTTGGTCTGACAGGCCTGGGTAAAGAGGTTTGGTCTAACAGGCCTGGGAAAAGAGGTTTCGTCTGTCAGGTTTGGGTAAAGACGTTTGGTGGGTCAGGCCTGGGTAAAGAGGTTTGGTCTGTCAGGTCTGGGTAAGGAGGTTTGGTCTGATAGGTTTGGGTAAAGAGGTTTGGTCCGACAGGCCTGGGTAAAGAGGTTTGGTCTGACAGGTCTGGGTAAAGAGGTTTGGTCTGACAGGTTTGGATAAAGACGTTTGGTGGGTCAGGCCTGGGTAAAGGGGTTTGGTCTGTCAGGTCTGGGTAAAGAGGTTTGGTCTGACAGACCTGGGAAAAGAGGTTTGGTCTGACAGGCCTGGGTAAAGAGGTTTGGTCTATCAGGTCTGGGTAAAGAGGTTTGGTCTGACAGGCCTGGGTAAAGAGGTTTGGTCTGACAGGTCTGGGTAAAGAGGTTTGGTCTGACAGGTCTGGGTAAAGAGGTTTGGTCTGACAGGCCTGGGTAAAGAGGTTTGGTCTGACAGGTCTGGGTAAAGATGTTTGGTCTGACAGGCCTGGGAAAAGAGGTTTCATCTGTCAGGTTTGGGTAAAGAGGTTTGGTGGGTCAGGTTAGGGTAAAGAGGTTTGGGCTGACAGGCCTGGGTAAAGAGGTTTGGGCTGACAGGCCTGGCACACAGGTTTGATCTGTCAAGCTTGTGTAAATGATGAAAAATGCTTTTCCTTATTCATACTTCCACAACAACCATAAACAAGAAGAAAGCTTATTGACTAGTTTTCTCTGCTTGTCTAATCATACTTCCAAACAAATCACAAACAAGGGGACAACTTATCGACTAGTTTGCCTTGCTAATATCTTTATACAATTTCTAAATAAAGCACATAAAAAAGGAAACATATTGGCTAGATTTATGTGTTAGTCTATCTAACTTCAGCTTGAACAGTAGAGGCCTTAATCAAAATAACAAAACAAAAATGATAATCTTCACAACTACATATGTATGACTAAGTAAATACATGGATTTCATGACAGAATGGGACAAAATGTGGATCAACAATACAGAATGACATTTTCTTTTTAAACAAAAAGCAAAATGCAGTGATTACTTTTAAACATGTGTAATTTGGGTCCAGTTGGTCTGAAAAATATCTGGTCCAGACTATAGAAGTCTTCAAAAACAAACTAAATGTTTGGTCATTAAAAGTATAACGGGCCCGCCGTTAATCAAACTTTGATTTGCTCAGGAAAAATCCCTTATTTCTTTCTATGTTATAGTGGTTATAAACCTCACGATAAATCTTAATCTGAAAAATTTCAAATCAAAGTTTTTTTTCAATTGTTTTCTTACTTATAAGCCAAGATTTGGTTAAATGGCCGTATTCATATGAGGGAACGTCTATTCTTACTTAGAAACTTTAAAAGTTGAAACAGCCTTTGACATCATTCTCCTTTTCTTTTTATTGTTGTTGGCTCTATGTTCTTGGAGGGACTTTATAATGGACAATTTCAGATATTAACTTTGGAAGGAACCCAGATTAACTTTTATATCTGTGGAGGGAAGGTGGAAAAGTGATCATTACAACCAGTTTAACCTTCAATGGAATGAACAGTCCAGTGATGTGCATCAGTCAAATTCTTGAGGAGAAATTATCCAAGGGACCCTGAATTATCCACTGTGTGTGTGTGTAGGTTCGCATCAGACAGGATTTGAATCTGAGCCAGGAACAAAAATCATGTCACAGAATTAGGAAGCCTCCTCAAATCTCCTGAAAACACCAGAAATACTCTAGGACTTCCGCTGTAACAGCCCTTCAGAATTACCCATGTCTCCATTACCAACATGAGGCAAAATGGTGTTAAAGTCTTTCATTGATTCATTAGCATTATCATCGCTGTTTGTCTCATCGTCATCATCTTCTGTGTCACTGCGTACATCCTTCTTTAACTGGAGTGAGAAAAAACATCATATATCAACAAACCATGTCCTGGTTGACCAAAGCTGACGACTATATTACGGGTGCCATTTTTTTTTTTTTTTGTAGAAAGATATTTCAAGGTCAGCTGCATATAGTATGCTAATCTGACTGCCAAAATTTGGGCAAATGTGAAATAAGAAAATTTTGTCATCAAAAGATCTTACATACTAATGATTGAGTCAATATTCTAGTATACCGTAAATATTCGCGTATAGTGCGCACTTTTTTAAGCTGAAACTGTCGTGTCAAAAAGGGGGTGCGCACTATACGCAGGTACATGCCATTCCGGGGGTTATCATTCCCGAGTTCTGCATCCGCCATATTGGATTACCTCCCATCACATAGTTTTATGTTAAAGATGTCGGTCTTATATGATAGTTTGGAGATAAAAACAACAAAAAAATTAAATGTTTTAATCATCTGCCATTCCCGCTAGCATAACGGTGAATCTAATTTTTTTTCGTTTCCCGTCATTTTGATGATGTATCTGTGGAATTCCATGAATCCGGAAGTTTTTAAGCGATTGTCGTTCTGTTCATAAATCGGACAGCCCATCCCACCGATGCCCAAAGTTGGTGACCCCATGACCTCTCTTGATCTGCATGGCCCGCACGCGCAGTTCTGTTGTACTGGCAACGATGCCGGGATATCGGCGATCGCATACAAAGTTGAACAGCTCTCTCTCTCTCCATCTCTGGGTGTTTCGCTGTCGCACGTATGTCAGCCCTTCTGGTCAGTGGTTGGGACTCTAAACGGTCTTTTCTTTCTTCCGTGCCTTGATATTTCACTCTGGAATGTCGAAGTGGCGACCGGCGGCACGAAACTCCAGTCTCTCGGCGTAGTCAAATGGCGTTCGCAGTTTCCCCATGTCGAAGTCGGTGTAAACAATCTATCATTAAATACCTTCGGATACCGCGGTAGGTACAGATACCATGAAAGATCATGCTTATACTGAACAAACCACCTGATTTATGGCGACAAGGTAGGATTGAAAATGTTCAGACAGTTAAAACAACATCGTTTTCTGACCAATAGTACGCGTTCAGCCCAAGCCGGGTGTCATCAGTCTCCTCATACTCAACGTGTTAACTGTCATTAACCGTTAATTATACAATCAGCCAAGCCTTTCATGCTTGTTAGGTCACCTGGGTAAATTTGTTTACTTAAGGTAATTACAGGTGTTAGGGTCACGCTCATTGTGGTTTCCTAATTATCAATGGATCAGACCACATCAAATGTTTCGTCGCAGTGACCAGTCAATTAATTTTTCTGTAGATTTTTTTTTTTTTTTTTTAAATCTGATCTCCAAAAAGTACCTGTGCACTATACGCGAGTGCGCACTATACGCGAATATTTACGGTGTATGTTTTGTGTTAAATAAGTTCCAGATCTTCAGAATGAAGAAGTGAATCACATGTACATTGTTTATGACATGTATATGTTCACATCAGATCATTTTAACAATGTCCACTTGCAAACAAAGACCTTCAAATATACATGGGAATCATAACCAAAAAAAACCCATAAGGTTTTACAATTTAAATATAAATGGCATTTTCACTCAGTGAAAATACTGTGTGATTTTTGCAATAAGTTTTGACCGATCAGATAGCATTATTTGCAGTGAAAACATCACTTATGACTCACAGTTGGTCAACATCTGGCAAGTTGTGTGTAAAATTGGTTATTCAAATCTTGAAAAGAATTGAATTATTAATGAAGAAAATCAATTATGGGAAGACTTGTGTCCTAGATGTATAACTATATTATCTGGCAGAGTAATGATATTACTTTCATTATTATTAAGTGATTAGCATACACAAATAGACAAATATGCAATTCAAAACTAGCATCAATGAAAGGACTTGATAAAATATAACAAACAGAATATTCCTTGTTTCTGACTGAATAACTGTTATATTTCATCTGTTTACATTTTATGTTATACACAAGAGCTTAAAGTGTACCCTGAGAGGTCAGCTATGTTGACCTTGAAAAATAGTTCTGCACATAAGATATGCTATGCCGAAAACGCGAATGCCGTGGAATGTTCCGTTACTGAGAAATTGCGACTTTTCTGAAAAACACACCTTTGGCTGAGAGGCGTTGACCTCGTCTTCGGGCACCCAAACCTGTGACGTCATAAGTTCAACGCTTTTGTTGATGCAGCCATATTGTCTTTACTGTGCTACATGATCTATTTCGGGATTTTCCGTGGTAATTTCTTTGTTTATTTACGTGAACGTACTTCACATCTTCGCAATATCTAAGGTAGTGAACGAGGGGTCGGTGAATTAGCGCTTAAATCCGCTAAAATGGCTTCCTATCGAGGAGGGAAGCGGTGTGTATGGTTGTCCTAACACTAACACGGATGGGGTGTCGATGCATGACGTCGATAAATAAAACTGATTGTTGATTAAATAAAAGTATATTTGTTAGGTTGATATTTTGTTATTAATTCTACAACTAAACATTTTAAATTGATAGGCTAGCCTATGACTTGGGCGGTCATAGGAATATTATTCCTTCGTAATCGTGAACGCCTAATACTCGACCTAGTCGTGAATGGGTCACGGGAATTTTCACCCCGAGAATTTTCATACAACTATTATATAGTATAGAATAGAATTATTAGAATTTATAGAATAGGTTATGTGTGTATGTTGTTTGTATAAGGTGTATTTGGTTTTTAGATCTTCCAGCAGACGATGTTGTTTAGTTATTAATTTTGCGATCGTAAAAATAACAATAAGATCACCAATCTTGATTTGAAAACACAGTTCACAATGTAGAGATGTCATCTAAACTCATAATCACACCTGTGCCAGGTTAGGTAATTAGCACCTCTGTGGCTGGAAAAAACAATTGTGACACCTGTGAGGCGACACGCCTGTCGACTAACAACAGACGCGTACCAGTGCTAGGGTAAAAACCAGTCAAATAATTGTTTAAACTTCTAAAACATCAAATTTTTATTATTAACACAGCGGAGGGTGTTATAATTGGTTGTTGACACCCTATCTATATATATCCATAGTGCAACGAAAATTCCCTGGAAAGAAAAATTCCCCTCGGACGAAACTTCTTCGGTAAGAAAATTCCCGACACCTCGTGAATATATGCATAGTCTTGCACAAACGCGATTTCCCGATGTCAGAAATTGTTGATCGAGACTTGAAGATAGTAAAATTAGTCCAAAACCACACCCAATTTTATTTTGTTTCTTTGAAACGACGATTCACTGTTCGACTACTTTCATGACTACTGGTGAGACCAAGTGAAGTACATGCCAATCTATGTTGCCCAAGCGATTGTCACTTTTCGAAGGGTCATTTTCCTCCTCACTGGATACATCGTCTTGTAATTCCAGTTCAAATCGGTAGGGCTGGATTCCGTCTTCAGACATATCATTCACACCATAATCAGACTCCTCAAAACTCCTGCTCAAATCGCTCTCAGTTGCGGTGTCGTTGTCACTGTCAGTCATGTTGACTGCCATTTCTGTTGAACTTATGACGTCACGAGTAGAAGAGCCTCGATTCCGCGGAAATGACGATTCGGCTGATTAGGCCTGGGCGGACAGGTGAAAATCGACGACTTTGAGCTTTAATAACTCGACACTGGGGCGACGGATTTTGACAGGGTTTTCATTATTATTATTTTTACGGCATTCTTAACATTATATCTAAATATAAAATTACTCTCAGGGTACACTTTAAAGTTTCAATCTCACAAAATGAAATTTAACATTGAGTGACAAGGATTATCCTCTGTCTACATGTAAATTCGTACTGGGCCGTTGATGACCCTGATTATGGGGCCTATATAAAGTTACATACATAGAACATTTTCAACTTTTCCTACGAGACTTCTTGTCTGATTTTAGTCAAACATGCTAGAAATTATCCAAAGTAAGTAGGGATGAGAATATATATTCTACAAAGGAGAGGAGGGGACCTACCGCATAAACCAGCATTTTGCAGAAATTATTGAATTAGGGAAGAATGACAATATAACTGTCATACCCTGAGGCATACAAAAATAAAACAGCAATTACCTCCCCTTCGGTGAACTTCTGGAATGCTATAGAAAGGATTGAGTATGTCCAGAGCAGATGTAATACTTGAAGGAACAACAACAGTCCAACAAAAATATCGTGAACAGGAAAACGATCCACATACTCGTGGATTTCCACCATACCAGCATACAGCATTCTACAACATATAATATATCCTTTCATCTCAAATAAAGTATGAAACCATCCATGCACTAAATAGCGATGGTTGTAACAAAATATTATTATCTATCACTCTCACTAGGATATGATAAAGTTGGTCTATTTGAACCTTAACACAAAAGGACACTGAAGACTATAAACCAACATTTCAAGTGAGTAAGAAGTATATATATATTCAATCAATTTATTGCAGTTCAAGACTATGTTTTCTGTTTCTCCACTATAGCACAGTTTTCTGACCACTTCAATAATGCTGCTACACAATGAGGATGGGAGATAACTCTGCATCTTTGCCACTTGAGAGCTCTCATTGTGCACCCCACAGCTATGCCCTCATTATTAATCAAAACAAAAAATAAAAATCAATTACAAAAGTAAATATGATAGGAAGATTTCTCTAAATTGAAAGACTGTTCATATAAACATTAAAGTTTTTAATAAAAATTGACAACATTTTTATTTTTATATAATGAATGCTTACTTGAAGGGGAAAACGTAGCACCGTGTGAAAAGCCACAGGATAACAAACACGCCAAATAACACCTCACATAGCTTCTGTTTCTTGCAGTATTTTGCCATTTTTGCACTCTGAAAAATCAAACATAACAAAGACCGTCACAATTAATATAAGAGGGGAGGGGGGATCTCTAGACAACAAAATCTTATCAGTCATTGTATACTTCAGATTAATCTAAAAATAGATATGTACAACACCAGCAGGTGAAGTTAAGACATAATAGAATTTTACTGAGCTTACAAGGTTAAGAGGAGCCGTTTAGACAAAGATTAAGACTAATTTTCAACAAATAGACATCGCTCCATGAGAACGATTAAACAAGGGACATAACTCCATTAAAAATCATTGGACTGAAAATATAATAGAAAGATGTACAATCTAAGGTAGCAGTAGTAATGACATTTGTCATTGGGTCAATAACATTAACCTTCAAGTCTAGGAGAAGTTGTCAATTTAATTTTCAGTATATGGACAATCTGATTCCATAATATCCAATAACCTCTTGGGTACATTGAAGTGATAAACTTAAGTGATAAACAACTTTAAACCAACCCATACTGCTTTTTTATTGCAATTCAGGCAAGAATTCTGAAACCTAATCCTATGATTTATAAGGACATAAAGGTGATTAACTTGGTTTTATCATGATCTACATATAGATTTCTAATTTTAAAGAGGCTCCCTAGAGGGGAAGTCATTATGACAGAATTACCAAACTTTTCAATAGTTATATAGAATAAAAGTGGAACTATAGGAAACCTTTCTTACAAATTATACCTCACAAACTCAAAGGTCTGTAAGACATAAATGCCCCTTTAATTGGACAAAAAAAGGGAGATAATAATATTACACATAAGTTATTCACTTATGCTGAAGGATCAAGGAAGACAAACTTTTATCCTATTTACATAAATATTGATTTTGTCTTCCTACTTAAAACCAACTAGTTGTCAGCAATGTCATGAGTCATGACCATACTTACATCAATCCAGTTGTCTGTGACATCATGTGTGATATCTATACTTACAGCCATCCAGCTGTCTGCGACGTCATGTGTGATATCTATACTTACAGCCATCCAGCTGTCTGCGACGTCATGTGTGATATCTATACTTACAGCCATCCAGCTGTCTGTGACATCATGTGTGATATCTATACTTACAGCCATCCAGCTGTCTGTGACATCATGTGTGATATCTATACTTACAGCCATCCAGCTGTCTGCGACGTCATGTGTGATATCTATACTTACAACCATCCAGCTGTCTGTGACGTCATGTGTGATATCTATACTTACAGCCATCCAGCTATCTGTGCATCATGTGTGATATCTATACTTACAGCCATCCAGCTGTCTGTGACGTCATGTGTGATATCTATACTTACAGCCATCCAGCTGTCTGCGACGTCATGTGTGATATCTATACTTACAGCCATCAAGCTGTCTGTGACATCATGTGTGATATCTATACTTATAGCCATCCGCCTGTCTGTGACATCATGTGTGATATCTATACTTACAGCCATCCAGCTGTCTGTGATGTCATCCAGCTGTCTGTGACATCATGTGTGATATCTATACTTACAGCCATCCAGTTGTCTGCGACGTCATGTGTTATGACTATCATGCAACCAATTCTAGAAAAGTTGATGCCCCATGAGAATCCCATCAGAAGTAGTGTAATGACATGGTGAAGTGTCATCTCCATCCAATCCTAAAATATATCAATCAATTTAGACCTGAATACATATCAATTGATTCACAACTTTCCCCAAATATATAAAATACACCAAAATGTGTTATTTTCCTATATAAACTACCAGATAGAGTTAATTTACTGCCTTCATAAAGGGCAACAGTGGACCCAGTTGATACGACAAAGACAAAGCAGAATATAGATTGAAAACAATACAGCATAAGAAATGTACTGTCTTTGATGTGATGATTGTTAATGTGACAGGAGTTGTTGTACTTACTTTGATGTGATGATTGTTAATGTGACAGGAGTTGTTGTACTTACTTTGATGTGATGATTGTTAATGTGACAGGAGTTGTTGTACTTACTTTGATGTGATGATTGTTAATGTGACAGGAGTTGTTGTACTTACTTTGATGTGATGATTGTTAATGTGACAGGAGTTGTTGTACTTACTTTGATGTGATGATTGTTAATGTGACAGGAGTTGTTGTACTTACTTTGATGTGATGATTGTTAATGTGACAGGAGTTGTTGTACTTACTTTGATGTGATGATTGTTAATGTGACAGGAGTTGTTGTACTTACTTTGATGTGATGATTGTTAATGTGACAGGAGTTGTACTTACTTTGATGTGATGATTGTTAATGTGACAGGAGTTGTTGTACTTACTTTGATGTGATGATTGTTAATGTGACAGGAGTTGTTGTACTTACTTTGATGTGATGATTGTTAATGTGACATGAGTTGTACTTACTTTGATGTGATGATTGTTAATGTGACAGGAGTTGTTGTACTTACTTTGATGTGATGATTGTTAATGTGACAGGAGTTGTTGTACTTACTTTGCGTCTGTAATCAAACATGAGAGAAAAAAGCAGTCCCCAGTAATATCCCATCTCCAACATATAATACCAATACAGGCCATCAGAGATATGCTGAAACAAGACAACAATCATTATACACAAATCATACAACAGGTGTCTGACAACTGCTGTGAATGAGGAAACATTTACCGTCCTAACTTATGAATTTTCCTCCGGAATCAAAACCTTAAGTCCAGAATTTATAACAGAGGAAACAATCCATGATCAGAATATAAATTTGTTGAAGAACGAACTTACCTGATAAGGCCAGTCTATAAAACAGTACTTGGTTTCCCAAAACCATGGTTCCTAGAAAATAAAAATTCATGAGTAAATAACGGAACTTTTTTCGTACAAACCAAATACATCATCAGTTTATAGCTCAAAATCTATTTTTAGTTTACTCTTCTTATCTTTAACTTTTGTAAATATATTTGTGAAGGTTTACAAAAATCTAGCATATCTACTTTAACAGTACTGGTCTGAGCTATAAAAATTCTACAATCCGTATCTACTGTGTTTTAATAAGTTGATGTTATATAGCACAAAATCATTTAAACTTTGTAGTATCTCAGAGTTTTAACCAGGTAATGCTGTTTCTACACTTTGTAGTATCTCCAAGTTTTAACCAGGTAATCCTGTTTCTACACTTAACATCACCAGAACAGAATTTTTCTGTTGGCTATTATTTTTTAGCAAATATATTGAATTCAATATATATTCATTAGCCCCCTCGTCTCTTCATATCTTCTTACACACAAAAACTGGTTTCAAGAATTCATCAAACAATCTTAGTTTGTTTTACTGTTCACCAGGAAACTGTTGCCATCATTTAACTTTGGCCGATATTTTTAAACATCAATGAAATAAATCTCCAGGAGATGAAAATTCTTCAAGAACCAATGCCTAATAAGCACATGTGTATACAACGTAGTTCAACTTCTAGGTTTCAGGATAGCTAATCATAATAAGAGCCTCCTTTATGTAAAGATGTGGAAATAGATTAGATGAAAATGATTAGGAAAATTTCACTGTAAAACAGAAAATAACCAAAACAGTACTGAAATTCTAACTATGGCAGGAAAGCTTCTCGATAAAAAGGTAAATAAATGATAAACAAGGTAATCATTTCCTATTGAATGAATGTGTTCCTATATCATGCTAAGGGTGTAACAAACTTTGACTACTTGACCTCTGTATATCAGATAACTCATGAAGGTGTTTTAATGGGTGATACTAGATAGGATTAACAGAGACAGACTTATCAGATAACTCATGAAGGTGTTTTAATGGGTGATACTAGATAGGATTAACAGAGACAGACTTATCAGATAACTCATGAAAGTGTTTTAATGGGTGATACTGGATAGGATTAACAGAGACAGACTTATCAGATAACTTGTGAAAGTGTTTTAATGGGTGATACTAGATAGGATTAACAGAGACAGACTTATCAGATAACTTGTGAAAGTGTTTTAATGGGTGATACTAGATAGGATTAACAGAGACAGACTTATCAGATAACTTGTGAAAGTGTTTTAATGGGTGATACTAGATAGGATTAACAGAGACAGACTTATCAGATAACTTGTGAAAGTGTTTTAATGGGTGATACTAGATAGGATTAACACAGAAGAAAGTTTGATGAATTGTGGTTTCTCCGAGGATGACTGGAACAAGTGGCTGATGATATCAAAAAGTCTAAAACTCCAATCGGGGCAAATAAAACAAGTTCTTCCACAATAGTACAAAACATGTTCATTGGAGATAAAGCTGAAAGCAAAACACACAGGGGATTGTGTAATCAGATGAACCAACTCAAGGGGCGAGCAATGCTGGAGAAAGTACGAATGATGTCCCCCTACACCAGGGAGGTTCTGCAGCTAAGGACACAAAACCAAATTACACCTGAAGTGCAACCGTTGTGGATTGCCAGATCCCATCCATAGCACCACCACCATCTTAATACAGATATATAATTCAGCAATTATCAATGGGAAATTGTTTTGTATTTTATCATGGTACTGATCATGGATAAAAAATAACCAGTGATTGATTTCATGATGTACTACCTGTATAAAGTAGGTTAATCCTGTCTGTACTGCAGGCAAATTTGAAAAGAAGCCAATAAGTATATCAAAGTTAAATTTCAGCAAGAGTTTCCAGGAAACAGTATTACTTGACAGTAATTACATGTGATTTTCCATACCATACACGTTGATAAGCCCATGTCTGGTATACCCTCCCATGTCTAATGTTCCTTTTCTGTTGCTGTAGTAAGCCCACCCTAAGACTTTGTGTCAGATGATGTATGCTGGTCCCCGACTTCACTACAGATTACATACAGTAATCCAGACCGTCTTATCAAAACATCAATATAATACCGTGCTTAAAATGTATGTAGCCATAACCATAATCCCTGGGAGCTAGGGGCTCCATTTCACCAACATGCCATTACAGGGATATTTACCAAAATACTGGTAAATGAGCATGCAAAAATGGATTTTAAAAAATTTGATCTCAAATAAAAGAAAATGTAAGATAATTTGATGAATTATGTACAATTCATCATTATTTTATAAATGGTGTATATACCAAGTAATTAAATAGATTTAAGAACTTGATATGATAACATGATAATATGTGTGTTGACCAAACACTGAGGCTGGGCCTTGTCTCCTACTTCCCTTTCAACAACATAAGGTCCACATTAGTTGCCTCAAATGAACAAGAAAGGGAACACCAGAGAATATAATTGGATACACCTGAACTTGCACCAGTTACTAGAATCTCAGATCCAGAATATTTTCCCCCGATGAAACATTCACTATGAAGTAAAGCTCAGCAGACTACATTCTGCAGCAAGCTCAATGAACTATTTTTAAATAGATATACAAGCTGAAAAAAATTTGCATAAAAAGTGAATTTCTCCTTGAAAATAAGGAGAAGACAACTGACTTTCCCCATCACTTGTGATGATTTTCCATTGAAATTTAGCATGTGTCAAAATGGTCTAAAGTAAAATTTTATTCTTTTGATTTGAATAAATCATCGTTTTAATTTTTAAAAAGTGCAGAAACGGAAATTAACACTGCATAACTGTTGGAAACATACATGAATGGAAATCTGTTGCAAGATCCATAAAATAGCTGAACAAGAAACACAGTCTACATGGTTGGACCGTCTCACAAATGCATGCAGACACACTGTCAAATGCTAACTTTTTTTCCTCTCTCTAAAATCGAAACTAGTTTTTATGCCACCAGATACATAATACACATTTCCTCACACTCCCCATTCATGACAAACACAATTTATTTTTTTACCCCAATTTCTGAAATGAATTATTAGGAAATCTTTTTCAATTGTTATAAATTTTAAGACTGACAATTATTCAAACTGAGAGCCCAGCGGTAGTGTTTCAGACAATATAACAAGGCTTGGGATTATAAGCATATCAAATCTCTCCTTTGGAATTTCTAAAAAGTTGCTAATTGTAATGAGTAAGTTTTTAATTAAATGATAATGAATATATTGAAATTTTCTTGATTCAGGAATCTAGATGAAGACTGGTATCTGATAAGAAAATATGAAGCTGTAAAGAAACCTCATTCAAATGCTCTTGCAAACATGCCATGCCTAAATCTACACCCAGACCTCATTCCAGGATAAGTAAGAAAAATACCACACATGCATATCCATCCCAAAGAGAGTGTAATGTTTTAAAACATACTCCTAAGTGTACTCCAATCCTAGTCAATTTAGTAAGAACATGATTTCATTCTCTAAATGTTTTGCTGAAGAAGTTATTGCATTAAGATTCTATTTTTTTGCCCACAAACATTTTCATTTTATCATGTATTACAACTGATGAACATTACAGACTCTGTAGAACCAAGGCTATTTGTACAACCATTTAAGAATTCTTTCAATTTCTCCTCAATATTTTCAGTGGTTAGAGGTTATTTTTAGTTGTAGGCTGTTACAGATTCCAGTGATCTTTGCTACATCAGCCATTTCTTAAATTACTATTTTGGTAATAAAACCCATCACTTGAGAATTGGATGGAGAAGATAGATGATTTTAATACTGTTGAAAGTCTATTAAAAGACTACGTAGAACAACAATATAAAATTACATGTGTTAATAAACACTAATCAATTCAATTCAGCCTAACTTTTTTATATAATTTAATACTAGCGTCTCCTGAATATCAATAAAAATTCAACACATTTTTTATACATATATATATATATATCATACACTCAACCTAATTTTCAGATGTTTTCTGTGACTCTTTGTAATGTCAGAATTTGTAAAAGACTGCTAAAAATATACATAAAACAAATTGATGTTTTTGGTAATGAACCCTACAGCAAAGTCTAACACATCAATATCATATCCCTTGAAGGTATTTAATATAGTATAACACTAAAATAATGAACCCTACAGCAAAGTCTAACACATCAATATCATATCCCTTGAAGGTATTTAATATAGTATAACACTAAAATAATGAACCCTACAGCAAAGTCTAACACATCAATATCATATCCCTTGAAGGTATTTAATATAGTATAACACTAAAAAGATCTCCTTTTTTTATGTATCAGCATTTTAGAAGTCATTTAAAACATTACATACTCGTGTGTATAGGACTAGTTCTTTAACATTTCCCCAAACTAAACAAGTAGGGCTTCCGATGGTTGATTTACCTTAATGGAGAGTAAAGGAGACGCATCTAGAAATATAACACAGATTAATTAACCAAGTAATCAGTATAACGTTCCTTAATAAAGACATGTTCAAAACAGAGGTGATTAGCCTCATTTTGTGACACAATGGAGGACACACAAAGTCAAATTAGTGATAATCATGATATTAGGAAAACACCACAGATCATCATAAAAACCTAATGACATTATGTTAATACCAGAGGTCATCAAAGTAACATTGACATTGTGTTAATACCAGAGGTCGTCAAAGTAACAATGACATCCTGTTAATACCACATTGACATTATGTTAATACCAGAGGTCATCAAAGTAACATTGACATTGTGTTAATACCAGAGGTCGTCAAAATATCAGCAACATTGTGTTAACACTAGAGGTCGTCAAAATACCGATGACATTGTGTTAGTAACAGAGGTCGTCAAAATATCAGCGACATTGTGTTAACACTAGAGGTTGTCAAAATACCGATGACATTGTGTTAGTAACAGAGGTCGTCAAAATATCAGCGACATTGTGTTAATACCAGAGGTCGTCAAAATAATGATAACATTGTGTTAGTAACAGAGGTCGTCAAAATATCAGCGACATTGTGTTAATTACAGAAGTCGTCAAAGTAACAATGACATTGTGTTAACACTAGAGGTCGTCAAAATATCAGTGACATCGTTTTAATAACAGAGGTTGTCAAAATATCAGCAACATTGTGTTAGTAACAGAGGTCGTCAAAGTAACATTGACAATGTGTTCATACCAGAGGTTGTCAAAATATCAGTGACATCGTGTTAATATCAGAAGTCATCAAAGTAACAATGACATTGTGTTCATACCAGAGGTTGTCAAAATATCAGCGACATTGTGTTAATACCAGAGGTTGTCAAAATATCAGCGACATTGTGTTAATACCAGAGGTCGTCAAAGTAACAATGACATTGTGTTAACACTAAAGGTTGTCAAAATATCAGCGACATTGTGTTAATACCAGAGGTCATAAGAATAACCATGACATCAAGTTGCCAAGTTATAACAGATAAAGTTTGTGTAATTAATGAGACAAAATGTAAATAGTTCTGTCAAGTATATTACACTATCATCTTTACCCTTTTTGAAGAAATGAAAGTGATAAGATTTAGTTATTATGCTGTATTGTGTAGCAGAAGCCATTACGAAGTCTAAAACACTAAATGATATACAACAGTTCTAAAACAGATTCTACACACAAAGCATTGTCCATCTTAATATATCATCTCTAATTCTGATTCTACACACAAAGCATTGTCCATCTTAATATATCATCTCTAATTCTGATTCTACACACAAAGCATTGTCCATCTTAATATATCATCTCTAATTCTGATTCTACACACAAAGCATTGTCCATCTTAATATATCATCTCTAATTCTATCAACAACCAGAAATCAAAATCTACAGAAACTTCTACCACAATTTTAGTACACATATACACATTATACATGCAAGAAATCTCACACTTTATAACACCCATATATACATCACACCTACAACAATATACTCATTTACACAGAAACCTAGATCCATGTCTAAACGAAGATTATCTTAAACAAAACATTTAAACCTACAAATTGTATTCACATTCTATTTACAAAAGTCATCCCTCTAGACCTAAATTAAACAGACAACTTTCACCAAAAGATCTATTTAAATCTATATTTGTATTCATACTTATGTGTTACAACCAGAATAAAACTTTATATCACATAGCTTTACATGAATATTCAAAGGCAACAAGTCAATTTAGTGAAACCACCAGAAATGTTATTCAAAACGTTGAAAACAAATAATTGTAGAGTAAATCTGCTGCGATATCTCCTTTCAACTCCTGAGTAAAAACCATGCTATTCAGAATCCTCACAACATTCTTTGTTTGGCAAAAATGAAATCAGATTTCCATACTTCCATTTTATTTTCTTCTGAGAAAAAAGGGCCTGAAACAACATTTCTATCAATTTAAGTTTAAGCAAAGCTTTAATGAAGTTTGTGCAGGTGATGTGAATTGGATAGAAAAATGTTGTTATTGTGGATCCTTCTCTGTACTAACTAAGACAAAAGTGTAGTGAAATGTTCTAGCTAAAAGTTTGATAAAGTGAAACAAAAGGCAGATCATTCTCTGTATGTATATGACATGATGATGAATGCCTATCGTTAAAAAAAGTAGATAACTCCTGGCTATCTATAAACAAGAACAAATCGCTCTTTAAACCAGACAAGAGCAGCTCACCCTGGTTATCATTGAACAAGAACAGCTCACCCTGGTTATCATTGAACAAGAACAGCTCACCATGGTTATCATTGAACAAGAGCAGCTCACCCTAGTTATCATTGAACAAGAACAGATCACCCTGGTTATCATTGAACAAGAGCAGCTCACCCTGGTTATCATTGAACAAGAACAGCTCACCACGGTTATCATTGAGCAAGAGCAGCTCACCTTGGTTATCATTGAACAAGAACAGCTCACCCTGGTTATCATTGAACAAGAGCAGTTCACCACGGTTATCATTGAGCAAGAGCAGCTCACCCTGTTTATCACTGAACAAGAACAGCTCACCACAGTTATCATTGAACAAGAACAGATCACCCTGGTTATCATTGAACAAGAGCAGCTCACGCTGGTTATCACTGAACAAGAACAGCTCACCCTGGTTATCATTGAACAAGAACAGCTCATCATGGTTATCATTGAACAAAAGCAGCTCACCCTGGTTATCATTGAACAAGAACAGCTCACCCTGGTTATCATTGAACAAGAGCAGCTAACCTTGGTTATCATTGAACAAGAGCAGCTCACCCTGGTTATCACTGAACAAGAACAGCTCACCCTGGTTATCATTGAACAAGAGCAGCTCATCCTGGTTATCATTGAACAAGAGCAGCTCACCCAGGTTATCACTGAACAAGAACAGCTCACCCTGGTTATCATTGAACAAGAACAGCTCATCCTGGTTATCATTGAACAAGAGCAGCTCACCCTGGTTATCATTGAACAAAAGTAGATCACTGGCTATCACAGAATAAAAGTAGTTCATCCTGACTATCACTGAAGAAAAGTAGTTCATCCTGACTTTCACTGAACAAAAGTAGTTCATCCTGACTATCACTGAACAAAAGCAGTTCATCCTGACTATCACTGAACAAGAGCAGATTACTCTTTCGCTGCATAAAGGCAGATTACTGCTGCTGTCATCCAACAAGACCTAATCAATCCAGCTATTTGCTTTCACTAGATAAATCACAGAACAGGAGTAGATAATGTATATAAACAAAGTGATTGTGTGTTTCTTATCTCTAAAGATTGTGAAAATTTCTGCTGACAAATAGTGCTGAATAGCTACAATTCTTTCTACAACTTTCCTCAGATCATTACTGACTATATAGGTTTCTGTAATCATTTAGCTATTTCACTTTAAACATAAATATATGGAAAAAGTTTCCAAAAAGTGTAAAACAGAAAGTTTATGAATAATGAATGAGTGGTGTTTAAAAGAAATTGTGTATTAATGTTTTATAAAGGCGAAAACACACCAATAGAGATGGCCATCATTCATACTTACATCCCATAGAACGATCACTCCGTAAATAAAAATAGACCCATAGAACAGGAAATTCCAGCTGTAAAACAAACAGAAAAGTTGCTTTGAAACTTTAACTTTTAACTTATAAGATCTAAGAAAATATTGCCTCTAATTAAGGAACATTTAACAAAAGAATTTGCTGGGTAAATTCTACCAACATCATACTGCAGGAAGTAGATTAGCGAGGATTTTAATAGTGATGTTATCCAGCAATATTAAATGACTCTAAAGTTATTTAAAATCTTAACATCCTGTGAAATATTTACACTGACAGATCGAAAGATATAAATGTCATTTAAGAAATCCAAGGCTTTTATAATTGTCCCACTTTCATCAACATTTACCAACTGGGTCAATAATATTTTTTTCAAAGCCACTTAAATTTTGCAGTTTCAGCATATTAAAAGATTGCTGTTTTTCTATTCTGAAAATGACTGATAATAACTTCCACTAATATACTTAAACACCAGGGTATATATCACCATCAATATTTTAGTAATATACTGATATTCAATCATACCAAAGTAAGCTTTATCAATAGGAAACAAAGGTAATTGTCATGTTACATTTTTAATTCACTTTAAAATCATTATCATGTAAGGCTAAATTTTCCTGGTATGCACAAACACTTTTTTTTTGTATTAACATAACTTACCAACATTCACAAAACTTCTGCATATTACCAGGTGACCCCTGTTGTCTACGGACGCGAAACCATCGTTGAATTTCTCGTTCTGTTAAACTGGTCTTCTTTACCAGGCTCTGAAAGAATGAAGGTTATTTTCACAACTAAATTACTAATACTGAAGATTTTTTATGAGCTAGCATTCCCATGAGATTCATGATCTCAAGTTATATTACTTTGTTTTTGTGTTCCTTAAATTCATAACATGAAGTTATGATCATTACGTCACTATAGGACCAACAGAAATACATGAAATCACAGATCTGCAGGGTTTTATTACATGTGTGTCTGAAATTTATCTTATTGTTATTATTGATAGCAGTGATAAATATACCATGAATGTATTCCAAAATTAAAAGTTTTACTAAAACACCAATATATTAGTTGTCTGTAACAGAAAAAAAGTGCTGGATTTCATTTAGAACACCTGGTCCTTCCCTATAGGACATGATAACTTCTTCAAATACAAGATGTGTATGTACTTCACTGGGATTTACCAAAATTGTTCCAGTGAAATATATCAATTTTTTTTCTGGTTCATGTGATATCCTTAAGATGTTAGTAGGTCTATAAACAATAACTAAATGTAAAACCTAAGCCACTTAAGAATCATTTGTAATACATACAACATGAAAGGAATTTTCCAAATAACATCTTATTTTCTTTCTTTTTTTGTCCCTTAACAAAGTATTTTCAATTATATGTTAAAACAGTAGATTCATGTTATTTAAAAACAATGGAAAGCCATGTTCTATACTGAACAAAACCTAAAGATAAACATAGCTGTTGAGAAAGTATATTTATCTAAATATTTAGTAGAATGTGGCAAAAAACCTATTTTACTTTCATGTTAGAGTCATTCCTTTCCTTGCAAAAATACACATACAGTTATAAAATCTGGCAATTGAAGGTGACTCAGTATGTCCCAAGCAAGATGAAACACCCAGAATAAAGGGCCACAACTCTATATACACTGCAAAAGCATGGGACAAAGATCTATTTCAATAAATGTCAGTTTTCCAACCCTAGAAGCACTTCCATTGAAAATTTGGTAGCAGTTGTTATTTGGACAAATTGATCGATGTACTGTTGGGCTGAGTGGCCGAATTCAAAGTTCTTCAGTGAAATAATTCTGAACTTCTTAGCTCATTTTACAAACATAAAATCAATGGCGCCTCCTAGTGAGTACTTGGTTATGTTAGAAATTCCCCAGCATCCTGGCTTTTTGCCAATATCATGTCTACCTTGGTGCATTAACACCTCATCATCACATCAACAGTTAGGTGAGCTGCCTGAAGATACAAATCTACATTCTCAGCTTTGATTTTATTCAACACTTATAGAGCAGGTCTGTCTTATTCACAAAATGCAATGCAACATAGACAGAAATTATAAATTTCTAAAATATATAAATTGTATTTAAGCAGGATGACACCATTTGTTTGTAATTCTACAGATCAGCAATATATCTTGTCAGTGCTTAATTACTGCTGTACAAATATGGTACTGACAGTGTTAATAGTGAAATCACCAGTAACATGGTCTGACCTTCACTAGTTCTTATCTGATGAAGGTCGTCTAGTACATAATATGATGAACTTTGAATCACTACAAATGTACAACATCTCAGAGTGGTTGAGCTATATGAACATGTAAACCATTTCTTCTGCAAAGCTGGTTCTCTTCATGGGTCAAAATGTTCGTATTCACGAAGAAGCTGTTTTCTATGATGCAGATGGTAGTTTGGTGAGCAGTAGGTAACTGTAATAAGTGTTACCTATTTTTTGACAGCAAAGTTTGAGTTCAATCCCAGTGGTGAAACTCGAAAAGTTTGAAATAGGTGTTGTACAGGAAAACCATTATTGCACAATCATGTTACAAAATGGTCTCCCTGTCTGCCGTGACAAGGTCAAAACATAACAACATTTTGTTGCTAAATTTCCTTAACATTTCCACCGACTTTTAGCTCAATGGCACCAGTGGAACTTGAGAAGAAGTTTAAAATACTTTTTTCAAGGTGGCAGCCGTGACAGCCATCTTGGATTTCAGACATACCCACATAACAACACTTGGTCGGGACCATCTTAGGATAATTTCATGCAAGTTGGGAGTTCAATCCCACAGATGGAATTTCAGGAGAAGTTTACAATGTCCGAAGTTTACGTACTGTGGACGGTGGACTATACAGATGAAGTACAATAGCTACAGGTCATCATGACACTTTGGGCTTAAAAATCCTTCCCAATACCGATCCCTTTCAATTCCAAATACCAAACCGATTTTGTATGCAATATGCTTGAATATTCCGAACATCACTTTTGAAAACCAGCATTACCTGAACAATCAAGACCCAAGCTTGGACCCGCAGACCAAGAAATCAACACCTGTGGTAACAGTAATAAGCTTTGCACCTCTGGCATTTATGCCTAGCATGGGTAGGCTTTGCATACTACACCAACCTTGATCAGGAAGGTTATGATATACATAATGTAAAGTTACCTCCAACGACAAATTGAAACCACAAAAAGTCCATCATTTCACCGAAGTGAGAAACAGCTACTGATAAAGTCCAAAATATGTACTGGTGCAGAAATAGAAAGCTGCAGTTTTGCTTCTATATCGTTAGTAATTGAATAAAGTTAATTTAATATATATATATAATGGAATTATTCATCAAATGTCGGTTTAGAAGATAAGTTTTTAAGCTGATCAACAAAACACATATTCATCAAATATATTGGTTGGTAACATTTTCAGACAAACCAACCATCTGACCAGGGCCACATCGAACTGTATGTAAAATCATGTTACTTCTGAGAGCGCCAGGCAATGCGCAGATTTCTTTTTGACTAGAATACAATTATCACTGTTTTTTCACTTTACTGAAAAATTTTCATTTTATAAAAAATTTTGTTATCTGTATTCTGTTGGACATGTTGAGTGTAAATGCTGAAAGTGAATGTGAACGGTTAATGTAATGAAGAGAATGAATCTGTTAAATTAAATCAAGAGTATGGACTGGTCAACTTGCTTGACTTCTACAAACTGAACCCTCCCTAAACTGACCAAATATTCATGTCCCATGTTTGGTCTGTTTGGAGAAGTCCCACAGTATATGGTATGTCCAGGAAGCCATGTTCTACAGTTATCAAGCAATAAGACCATGCATGGAAATAATCCCATCCAGTTCAGTAAACTTGCCAACAAATGCAAATAATTGTCTTTTATAAGAAACCAATACTCTGATTTTGAATCAGATGGCAACCTCCGATTTTATATAAGAACTACACCCTCTCATTACGAGTCAGAACATTCTCTGTTTTCTAGTCAGAACATCTCCTCTGATTCTGAGTCAGACCCCCTCTGATTATGAGTAAGGACACCCACTGATTTTGAGTCCCAACATCTTCTCTGATTCTGAGTCAGACCCCCTCTGATTATGAGTAAGGACACCCACTGATTTTGAGTCAGAACATCTTCTCTGATTCTGAGTCAGACCCCCTCTAATTTTGAGTAAGGACACCCACTGATTCTGAGTCAGAACATCTCCTCTGATTCTGAGTCAGACCCCCTCTGATTTTGAGTAAGGACACCCACTGATTTTGAGTCAGATCATCTTCTCTGATTCTGAGTCAGACCCCCTCTGATTTTGAGTAAGGACACCAACTGATTTTGAGTCCGAACATCTTCTCTGATTCTGAGTCAGACCCCCTCTGATTATGAGTAAGGACACCCACTGATTTTGAGTCAGAACATCTTCTCTGATTCTGAGTCAGACCCCCTCTAATTTTGAGTAAGGACACCCACTGATTCTGAGTCAGAACATCTCCTCTGATTCTGAGTCAGACCCCCTCTGATTTTGAGTAAGGACACCCACTGATTTTGAGTCAGATCATCTTCTCTGATTCTGAGTCAGACCCCCTCTGATTTTGAGTAAGGACACCAACTGATTTTGAGTCCGAACATCTTCCTTGATTCTGAGTCAGACTCTGTCTGATTTTGAGTTAGACAGCAACATCTGATTTTATAGCAGAACTGTACCCTCTTGAGTTTGAGTCTAAAAATCCTCTGTTTTTTAGTCAGAACATCTCCACCGCTTCGGCAGTAGTAGGAAAAATTTTGTGTTGTATAAACTAGTGTTATTTCTAACTTCTGACATTATTTTAATAGAGGTCTAAACAAAAATCAAACAATCATTTTTTATCCTTTTTTTTGTCAAACCCTGAAAAGGATATTCTGTTTGCTTTAAATATCAATGACTTTAAGTTGGACAATATTTCTAAAACCAGTATACTGGTCATCAGGAGTATGATGTTTGTATACACTATACAGATGACACATATCGTGATAAATGTTGACTCTACACTTCATTCCATCTGGACCAGTCAATAAATGTTCCTATATAAATAATATTGTTTTTTGTGTATAAAAAACCTATCATGTTTTAATATCATGAATTTCATTTCAGAAAATTAATTATGCATCGGTTAGGTACAGTAACTTATACCCACGGCAAAGAAATTCAAATTCATCTATATAATACAAGTCAATACTTTAATGGAACAAAATCAGAAGTTAATGGTAGGAATATATATATACAATACTTTAATGGAACAAAATCAGAAGTTAATGGTAGGAATATATATATATACAATACTTTAATGGAACAAAATCAGAAGTTAATGGTAGGAATATATATATACAATACTTTAATGGAACAAAATCAGAAGTTAATGGTGGAAATTATGGATAAAATTTTCATAATCAACCTGGCTGATATACACTGCCTTCAGAAAGGAACTGTTTTTTTTTTATTCTAAAAGTAACAATGATATATTTTTGTCAATAATTCAAAGGCAACATAGGTCAATATCTATGGCTCTCAAGCTGGCCCTCCACTCAATCAACTAAAGGACACTTTTTCTAAGCCAAATTGGTGAAATTGACTAAGAAACCATCTGGGATATAATTTAGGATAACCTGTGTCAGGTTGATTTGGAAATGTCTGTTTAGTGATGAATATAACAAACTTTAAATATACTATACCTCTATTACTGGTTCTTTCGGAAATTTAGATTTTTTATATTCTACTTCCAAGATTGGATTAGGCACAGCATTCCTTGGTCTTTTGACACGGATTCCAAACTGTTTCCCAAAGGGAATAAATATTAACCTACAAAACACAATAAAAGAAAACAACATTAATATCTACATGGTATATCCTGTATATAAATATAAAGAGATATTATCGGTTTGATAGCCACTTCTCATATAATAAAAAAGTGTTATTTAGTCTAATCATATAATGCCACTCATCAAAATATCTGTTCCATAAAGTATTGACCAACTTCATTAAGAATCAATCTAATTACATTATATATAGCAAATAGGATCGAAATATTCATCTAATCATTGTCCTGTCTTCCTATAGGATTTATAACTGCTATGAATGACATTGCCTTGAAATGATGGTCACACTTGGTAACACATTATCAAGCAAAACTGTGTCATTTCCAATCCTATTTATGACTACTGACTCCTCATCATCAGACAGATATATAACAGGGTATACTGAATGACAGATATATAACAGGGTATACTGAATGACAGATCTATCACAGGGTATACTGAATGACAGATCTATCACAGGGTATACTGAATGACAGATCTATCACAGGGTATACTGAATGACAGATATATAACAGGGTATACTGAATGACAGATCTATCACAGGGTATACTGAATGACAGATCTATCACAGGGTATACTGAATGACAGATATATAACAGGGTATACTGAATGACAGATCTATCACAGGGTATACTGAATGACAGATCTATCACAGGGTATACTGAATGACAGATCTATCACAGGGTATACTGAATGACAGATCTATCACAGGGTATACTGAATGACAGATCTATCACAGGGTATACTGAATGACAGATCTATCACAGGGTATACTGAATGACATATATCACAGGGTATACTGAATGACAGATCTATCACAGGGTATACTGAATGACAGATATATCACAGGGTATACTGAATGACAGATATATCACAGGGTATACTGAATGACAGATATATAACAGGGTATACTGAATGACAGATCTATCACAGGGTATACTGAATGACAGACCTATCACAGGGTATACTGAATGACAGATCTATCACAGGGTATACTGAATGACAGATATATCACAGGGTATACTGAATGACAGATATATAACAGGGTATACTGAATGACAGATATATAACAGGGTATACTGAATGACAGATATATCACAGGGTATACTGAATGACAGATATATAACAGGGTATACTGAATGACAGATCTATCACAGGGTATACTGAATGACAGATATATAACAGGGTATACTGAATGACAGATCTATCACAGGGTATACTGAATGACAGATATATAACAGGGTATACTGAATGACAGATATATAACAGGGTATACTGAATGACAGATATATCACAGGGTATACTGAATGACAGATATATCACAGGGTATACTGAATGACAGATCTATCACAGGGTATACTGAATGACAGATATATAACAGGGTATACTGAATGACAGATCTATCACAGGGTATACTGAATGACAGATCTATCACAGGGTATACTGAATGACAGACCTATCACAGGGTATACTGAATGACAGATCTATCACAGGGTATACTGAATGACAGATATATAACAGGGTATACTGAATGACAGATCTATCACAGGGTATACTGAATGACAGATATATAACAGGGTATACTGAATGACAGATCTATCACAGGGTATACTGAATGACAGATCTATCACAGGGTATACTGAATGACAGATATATAACAGGGTATACTGAATGACAGATCTATCACAGGGTATACTGAATGACAGATATATAACAGGGTATACTGAATGACAGATCTATCACAGGGTATACTGAATGACAGATATATAACAGGGTATACTGAATGACAGATCTATCACAGGGTATACTGAATGACAGATATATAACAGGGTATACTGAATGACAGATCTATCACAGGGTATACTAAATGACAGATCTATCACAGGGTATACTGAATGACAGATCTATCACAGGGTATACTGAATGACAGATCTATCACAGGGTATACTGAATGACAGATCTATAACAGGGTACAATGAATGACAGATCTATCACAGGGTACACTGAATGACAGATCTATCACAGGGTACACTGAATGACAGATCTATCACAGGGTACACTGAATGACAGATCTATCACAGGGTATACCGAATGACAGATCTATCACAGGGTATACTGAATGACAGATCTATCACAGGGTACAATGAATGACAGATCTATCACAGGGTATACTGAATGACAGATCTATCACAGGGTATGACAGGTATCATATATGACAATGTACTGATAATAAGATAGTTCAAATTGATTACCTACACCTGCTGTCATCCATGAAGCAGGAGATAAGATAGTTAATGTTCACCTCTTTTTATATAGAGAGAATCTTACACAAATGGTTATACCACATTGTTTACTTGGTGAATAGTTTGATATGACATCATCCTGTAGCTTTTACTGAAGGAGTTTAATCAGTTCAATACAACATTAACACAAGTGTAAGATTCCATATGTCATATGATATACAGTGAAACATACATCATAGCTAAACACAGGATACACAGCACCTACCATAATGCATCAGGGACAAAGAAAATGCTTACTAGGGCTACTGAAATATCACCAGACCAGAGACATTAGATATATCACCAGACCAGAGATATTCGATGTCTGACCAGAGATATTGGATATATCACCAGACCAGAGATATTGGATATATCACCAGACCAGAGATATTCGATATATCACCAGACCAGAGATATTAGATATATCACCAGACCAGAGATATTAGATATATCACCAGACCAGAGACATTAGATGTCTGACCAGAGATATTAGATGTCAGACCAGAGATATTAGATATATCACCAGACCAGAGACATTAGATGTCGGACCAGAGACATTAGATATATCACCAGACCAGAGATATTAGATGTCTGACCAGAGATATTAGATATATCACCAGACCAGAGATATTAGATGTCAGACCAGAGATATTAGATATATCACCAGACCAGAGATATTAGATGTCAGACCAGAGATATTGGATATATCACCAGACCAGAGATATTGGATATATCACCAGACCAGAGATATTAGATATATCACCAGACCAGAGATATTAGATGTCAGACCAGAGATATTAGATATATCACCAGACCAGAGATATTAGATGTCTGACCAGAGATATTAGATGTCTGACCAGAGATATTAGATATATCACCAGACCAGAGATATTAGATGTCTGACCAGAGATATTAGATATATCACCAGACCAGAGATATTAGATGTCTGACCAGAGATATTAGATATATCACCAGACCAGAGATATTAGATATATCACCAGACCAGAGATATTAGATGTCAGACCAGAGATATTAGATGTCAGACCAGAGATATTAGATATATCACCAGACCAGAGATATAAGATATATCACCAGACCAGAGATATTAGATGTCTGACCAGAGATATTAGATATATCACCAGACCAGAGATATTAGATGTCTGACCAGAGATATTAGATGTCAGACCAGAGACATTTGATATCAGACCAGAGATATTAGATATATCACCAGACCAGAGATATTAGATATATCACCAGACCAGAGATATTAGATATATCACCAGACCAGAGATATTAGATGTCAGACCAGAGACATTAGATGTCAGACCAGAGATATTAGATATATCACCAGACCAGAGATATTAGATGTCAGACCAGAGATATTGGATATATCACCAGACCAGAGATATTGGATATATCACCAGACCAGAGATATTAGATATATCACCAGACCAGAGATATTAGATGTCAGACCAGAGATATTAGATATATCACCAGACCAGAGATATTAGATGTCTGACCAGAGATATTAGATGTCTGACCAGAGATATTAGATATATCACCAGACCAGAGATATTAGATGTCTGACCAGAGATATTAGATATATCACCAGACCAGAGATATTAGATGTCTGACCAGAGATATTAGATATATCACCAGACCAGAGATATTAGATATATCACCAGACCAGAGATATTAGATGTCAGACCAGAGATATTAGATGTCAGACCAGAGATATTAGATATATCACCAGACCAGAGATATAAGATATATCACCAGACCAGAGATATTAGATGTCTGACCAGAGATATTAGATATATCACCAGACCAGAGATATTAGATGTCTGACCAGAGATATTAGATGTCAGACCAGAGACATTTGATGTCAGACCAGAGATATTAGATATATCACCAGACCAGAGATATTAGATATATCACCAGACCAGAGATATTAGATATATCACCAGACCAGAGATATTAGATGTCAGACCAGAGACATTAGATGTCAGACCAGAGATATTAGATATATCACTAGACCAGAGATATTAGATGTCAGACCAGAGACATTAGATGTCAGACCAGAGATATTAGATGTCAGACCAGAGATATTAGATATATCACTAGACCAGAGATATTAGATGTCAGACCAGAGACATTAGATGTCAGACCAGAGATATTAGATATATCACCAGACCAGAGATATTAGATGTCTGACCAGAGATATTAGATATATCACCAGACCAGAGATATTAGATGTCTGACCAGAGATATTAGATATATCACCAGACCAGAGATATTAGATGTCAGACCAGAGATATTAGATGTCGGACCAGAGACATTAGATATATCACCAGACCAGAGATATTAGATGTCAGACCAGAGATATTAGATATATCACCAGACCAGAGATATTAGATATATCACCAGACCAGAGATATTAGATATATCACCAGACCAGAGATATTAGATGTCTGACCAGAGATATTAGATATATCACCAGACCAGAGATATTAGATATCTGACCAGAGATATTAGATATATCACCAGACCAGAGATATTAGATGTCTGACCAGAGATATTAGATATATCACCAGACCAGAGATATTAGATGTCTGACCAGAGATATTAGATATATCACCAGACCAGAGATATTAGATGTCAGACCAGAGATATTAGATGTCGGACCAGAGACATTAGATAT